TGGCCGGTGGGGGCGGGGAGCGGGGGAGGCCTGAGCCCGCGGACCTGGCTGGGGTCTTGACTCCCTTCTGTTTTCTGCTTGCTTTTCAGGTCACGAATCAGGTGAGCAGCTTCTATTTGAGGTAACCTTTCGTCTCCCTGCAGTTTGAGGCCCATCTCCTCTCATTGTCGTGTAGTAAAGGCTCCTGCTTCCCCAGCGGGAGTAACCCCCTCCTCCCCCACGGGTGTCTGCGCTGGGTCTCCCAATGCGGAAGCCTCAGAGTACACAGTGTCATGTAACGATAGGGCATGAAAGAAAAAACAGTGGAGGAAAAGAGAACAGATGTGGCCTGGCTGTTAGGGTAGTGTAATTGTGTGTTTCAAGGTGGGTTTTAAGTCATTAATTGATGATTAAAGCATTATTATATATTTATGTATAATGTGAGCCAGTTCTGGACCTGTACACAATGGCTTTGTGCCTTGTATGGACCTGCTTGCATCACTGTGTCGCAGCCTTTTTCTTCTTTGGCTGACTGTAAGAAATAACGTTGTTTCACCATATTTGCACTGTGCTGCTTATTCATGAGTGTATCTGCATGATTTGTTGTTGCTGGTTTTGTTAGTGTAGCAGAATCCACACTAGAGAAAGGAAGCTTGTTCTAGTCCACAAAACAATGTAAGTGCTAGATACACTGACTGAAAGGAAATCATCATGCAGGGTTGGACTATGTGTGTTCTCAGTGATAATTCTGAGTATCTTTAACAAGCATTAGAGGTCAGGTGTTGATCCCGGCAGGCCTATTGATAATGTTAAGGGTGTTTTTCAAGCCCAAAGACTGAAGCTTCTATCAGTAAGATGATATTCTTAAAACTGTATTGTTGAACTATTTTGGAAATTAGGAATTTCTGCGTGCAAGTGATGTATTTTTTTTGTTGTTGTTACTGGAATACACTGACTGAGTCCGCAGGAGAGTGGAGGGTTTTTTGATGCTGGGTCATTTTGTACTTTGCTTTATAGTTTCATAGGAGGAATAATTTTATGATTCTTAGAGTATTGCTGCTGTGGAGCAATTTGAGAATTTTTTAATCCCAGTCCTGAGTTAAAATCAACAACCTTTTCTGGGAGCTTTTCTCACATGTATGCTGTAATTTTCTCATGTTTTATTTTTTTTTTTTTAATTTTGAAATTCAGCGACTAAATTCCAGTTTGAAGGAAAATAAGTGTGAATAAATAACTAGTAGAATTTCAAATTCTTGAACTTCTCACTTTCCAGATGTTGAAATGAGCTTATCATGGTACAAATAAAGTCCTGTCAGCTATAAAGGAGGAACTGAGGAAGAAAAACTAGTTACTTTTTCCAAATATCTGATTTACCCTGTGTCACTACGTGTTTATGTTATATGGAGAAAATCCTAGAAGAACGTTAAATGAACAATTCTAAGTGTGTTCAAAACCTGCCTCTCTTGCCCGTTGGCTTTACATTGATGATGGATGATATCTGTCAATTGTGGATGATCGTGGATTATAGGACCTTCTACTCTGCAAGGATTTTCTTGTTAATGTTTCTGTACAGAAAAGGCCACTTGAGACCAGTTAGACTTCCTCATTCACTATGTTGTGCCAGTCTTAACTGAGCAGTGGTTATTATTATCTAGACTTGTGGTATATAATTTTTTTAAAAAAAGGACAAAAATATGGTCAATGTCAAATATGAATACACCTTGCATTATTAGTCATTGTTCTTTTAATCCGATCAGTACACTGGTAAACTGTGTAGCAACAGGGCTGTTAGTCACCAGTTATTCATATCCTGCTTAAAACAACAACAATAGTAATTTGAGATTCAAGTGAAGTTGCAAACACATTCTTAAAAAAACCTGTTGAGTTAATTGCAGGGACCGACTTTTTTGTGGCACTCTGTGCTGTGGTCTGTAAAATATTCTGGAATTCTTCAGGATTAAAATAAAAAACAAACACAGTGTGTCCCTAATAGCTAGAGTACGTGTGTCTAGTAGTAGTGTAATATATGTATCTCTTTACACAGACATTTAGCCATGTATTTCTTGGTGATGGGTGTTTGTTTTTTTTGATATTTTGGGTTTTTTAAATTGTATTTTGTTTGTATTACTTGAGTTAGACTATCCTTGGAACATACTACTTCTGTTTCTGTTATTGCTAGGTGTGGTAATGAACTTTTAAAACCCTCAAAATTTCCAGTCACCTGTAAGATGCATGGATTCTTAAGTATTAGATTGTAGTCAGAACTGTCATTAACAAATGCTTAGCTTATTTTTATTATTGTACCAATCATTTTATTCCCTTTTTTTAATAGTAGCAAGAAAGGAAATGCACTAAATGCAGGTGCATTTGCTTTTAGTGTGTTCTTACCATACTGTGCATTTTGAAATGTAAGTTACGAATTGAAGACTCATTCAATCTTTGTGGTAGAAATTCAGACAATAATGGAGAAAAACTGGTATTTGTCAGTTGTAGGGTATGTGAAATCTTTCAAAAATATCTTGAAAGTTTTTCTCTATCTGAAAACATATATGTTCTAATACAAATTTAGGAATTTCTAAATCCTTAGTGTATATAGGATTTCTGTGTGCATATGTGTTAGAATTGTTTAAAGGTTCAGAAACGGGCTGGTGAGGATCAACAGGAATATACTTTCTTAGCTTTAAAGATTTCCAGTGGCAGTGACTCACTTGGAATGCCACAGTCACATATCTGTAGTGATCTTTTTAAGAGAGAAGTTGACGTAGTTAAAAGTACCATGCAGTGCTAATTTTATTGTCACAATACTTTCCCCCCCCCACACACTTCTGCAGTCTGATAGAATGAATTGTTAGTCTATATCTGATACAGAAATAGTTGATGATTCAGCATTTACAAAGCTCCACTTGTGTACAGTGGTTAACAGGGAATCGTTTCTTCTCTTTGACCTTCAGCTGGGGAGCCTGACATGACCAGTACTACCCATCTTCCTGAACCTCTTACGAGACCTTCCCCACTAATGGAGAGAGAAAGCAAGAAAATGGGGTTTGTCTGCCCACTGTTTACCAGATGGTGTTTGGCTGTGTGTCTTGTTCTCAATTTCTTCTACCACAAAAACAAAAAAAATCAGACTGCATACAAATTTTTTGGAGTGAAAAGATCAGACACAAGCTGATTGTTCTTCATCATGACATCGCTTCAGTCTGGCACACAACCCACGAGTGATTCCCTAGCAAGCATAGATAAACAAAAAAGTAATGTTGGTGGATATCTTGATCTGCTGTGATCTCTTACCTGTCTTCTCACGTGTTCTAAGAAATATCCTTACTTACTAGATAAGGTACCATGTCAGCTCATGCCTTCGTTATATGCAGATAAGGATAGAGTAATTGACTGCATCTGATTATGAAGCTCAAGCACTGGCTCCAGGTAGTTCAGAGTTAAACTGTTGAGGGTTGGCTGCGACTTGGGTTTTTCTTGCCACATAGGGCTTGCTTGCTGGTTCTTTTTGCTGGTTACCTTCCAGCATTACTTTCAGGCCTTTGATCCTGCTTTTCTTTTTTTAAAGTCAGTGAGGTACTGAGAGTCAGCTACATAAAGAAATTAATTTTAGTCCATGGACGCCTGTGACAGCTGTGCCTTTAAAGTCACAGGGGCAATAAAGATCACAAAACATTGAACAAATGGCAGAAACTGGATACAGCTAACCTTCGCCCAGTTATGGAACGCATTTCTTCAGGGTGTCAGGCAAGTATAGAGATTAATTATCTTGAGGAAACAAATTTTACTCTTCCTACAAGGTCTTTCCATCTTATGAACTCTGCGACACTATCCCACAAGCTTTCCCAGAAGAAGGCCCTACTGATCATTGAAAAGGCAGTGCCCATGATTCCTGGAGTGCGTTGGGTGGTAGTACTCATAAATGAGCTACTGTGCTGGAGTGAAAGTACATCAGACGTGAAGAAATGGAGACGTCCTTCTGAAAATCCTTAGCTAAGCTTATTTCTTTTTGGTTGGAGGGTGGGGAGTGGAGTTTAACTCTTCTGTTGTAAGCAAAGTGGAAATAGCAGAGGCAGTGTATGTGCTTGGAAAACAGCCTGCTGTTATGAGTGTAGCCTCAGAAAGTGGAAGACCAGGACTTGGTTTGTGTCTCACTGTGAAAAGAATACCCCAGAAAACCTTCCACAGAGCCAGCGAAGGGGAAGTGTTGAGACTAGCGCGGCATAGCAAAGAGTAAGCACAAAGGCAAATATGAAGGGCTTGTAGACGTCCACTGTGAGGTTGGTTGTTCAACGGCTTCTTTGAGGTTAAAATATCTCAAGCTATAGAGACCTCTGAGTTTAAGTAGGTAGCTATGTGACAAAGGGAAAATTGCAACTTGTTTTGGGGTTTAAAGTGTTATTCGTATGAATAGCTGAAAGATTGACTTAGATCTGTCTTCGTGCATTACTCTGTAATTGAAAGCTAAGGAAACCACTTATTTCATTCCGCTGTTTGTGCTTGCCAGTCCTGGTCTTTTATAGTGCTCTTTTTGTCTCGGTTTCTTATTTCTGTTTCAGTGAAATAAACTAAAAATTGTGATAAGGAGACTGTTACTGTCTCGAACACTGTGTAAGCGAATGGGGTGCTACAGAGTGGAAGGCAGGTGACAGTGGTTCATGTGATAGATTGTCTTGTTGCACTGAAGATGCTGTTCCTCGCTTACCTTTTTTCCTTGGTTTAAAGGACCAGCAGAATCGGTAGAATCCAGTTGTTGTTTTATTACACTGTAAAGATAACATGTCTAACAGCTTATTTGGAAGAGTGGCTTGATCCGGCTCGTGCTCATTATGAGCATTAATTGCATCATAGAAACAGGTCTCGAAGTGTTTTTCACAACGTAACGTGCTGTCCTGTTTTGAACCAGTGGCTCAGTACCTGCACCTCTGTTTGGAGCATTCTAAAGCTCTTGCTTGCCAGGGCGGTTTTGGAGGAAGCCTGGGTCAGCTGGTTAGCTCAGCTTTCTGTGCGCTTGGCGTTGGTGCCTGCGTGATGTCCTGGTTCAGAGTATACGGCAATGCCTGGGCATGCTGGGCATGAAGTTTCGAAACTGCTTGACGAGTATGTTAAGAATGTATACCTGTCATTGCGAAGATCAGGAGCACTAACTTTAAGTCAGTGCTGTTCTTCTGGACACCCA